GATTTTATTATAATTTGTTGGAGAAAAAAAGTTAAAATTAAAAAAAAAAAGTAAAGAAGTTAATGTCAATACTGTGGCAGATGCTTTGGTACACATGGTAAAAAATGCACTCTTAGTTCAAATGTCTCTATTCAATGAATTAAGATGTATTTCAATACATTTTTCTTCAATTTTTATTTTTGTCGGATCTTCTACTATTAATGAGTGAGAAAGTCTCTTTTATACAATTTGTCTCACTTGAATACATGATAGGTGATTCATCAAGAAATAAATTATAAAAAAAATATGTCAAAAGGGATCCAACAAAAAAAAATTGAAGAATAATTTATTAATCACTACTCGTCATGCAATACCGAAATCTAATTCATTTAGGGATCAAATTTTTCAATTTTCTTAATGCTAAATTACCTAACTTGAATTTAAAAGGATCCATTTTTTTTAAAAAAATCTAGTACATGATAGGGAATTGAAATACAACAAAATTCAAGAACTTCAACACAAACATCAAGTCTTAATGTCATGATGTCTTTTGACCACAAACCTTGGGAAAGTTACTTTTAAATGTCGTGATGAACTCATTGATGCCTCAGAATAAGCTTTCGCTTACAGTGACAAGTATTGTGCATGCTTTGGATTTAACTCTCTAATAAGAATTGGTATTGGTTTTCCTAACTCAATATGTTTTAATCCAATTCATCACAATCTATTTATTCAAATAATTAAGAATACAGAGATATTAGATTACACTCAATCATTCCTAATTCGTCTAATTCTCCCATTCACCACTGCTAAATAAGCTTGATCATTAAAACCATATGTCACAAGTTCTTGAAATCTAACATAGGAATATTATTGTCTATCACTTGTCTTTTACATCAACCAAAAAATTATATAATGAATAAGCTTTTTTTAAATATGCACATGGTACTTGAAGATTTGGCTTATTACTATCATTGTCACCCCAAGAACATCAATCAACTCACACTTAATGTTGAGTGGCATGTAATAGTGGTGCAACATAGCAATTGTTTCAAAACAGAAAGAGGAATATGTAATAAGCATGCCATGAAATCATTCCGTAACGACTCCCATAGACCCATTTTTTTATTTTGGTAGTAGTTCAAATATCATCATTAAGCATAAGAAATCCTTTAATTCAAACTAAGACATCATAAAGAATACGTAGGTAAAGTTGTGAAAGTTTTGAATCTTAGTACAACAATATATGTTTTTATTTTAAATTCAATATTCTATGTAATCTGTTAAATTGTATGATTCTATCTAAAAAAACATAACGACAATGCACTAATGATTAATATATCTATATGAGCAACTAACCTATTATGAAAATAAAAAATGCATATAACTTTAATTGGGCCACCCTATTGATAGAAAGATCGATCTCATGTCATAGGCTCATAGCAATTAGACTAATGGTATGTGTTATTTTAAACTTTCGATAGACAGAATGCAATTGAGCATTCTTTCAAAATGCAACTTACAGGAAATTTAGAATAACACATGAGCTATCAAATTGGACTCTAAACTTCATATGCTATTTTAAGTTGATAACTTAGGTTAAAATACAGAATTGGACATGATGAACTTACAAAATATTGGTGCCAAGGTTTAGTTTGTTTGAATTGGACATTATCTTGACATGCGTTGTTTCAGTCTAGCGAGCAATCTCAAGGTGTTGTTTCAATGGCAGAATCTTGTAAATATAAAATCATGAAAATTAGTAGATGATTTACATCAAGTATTTTAGATAAGTCTTTACATCAAATTTCATTGGCATTGCATTTGCTTACACATAAATATGCATGCATGTATGTTATTTCTTCCGGTAAAAAACTCTATATATAATCATTTGGCTCCTTAATATATGTTATTCATATATATTATCAGCTTCATGTAGAGATAAAGAGAGAGGGAGGAATACAAAAATGTTAATTTTAGATTAATAATTATCATACAAGAAATTTGTCCAAGTTATTTTAGTGCCTATTTCTGATTTGATGAAAATGTAGACTGTTCATGAGGTGGTCTAATTTGATAGTCTATAGTCATTCATATAAAAGTAATAGAACTATATAGACTTTTCTTTAATGACACTTCAAGACTCTCTCTTTTGCTACGTCCATTCATCAAGTTTACCAAAAATGGAATATACCAGAGCTTCTAAAAAGTATTATGCAACAACACTCTTCATACAATCTACTAATATGTATCTCTTCTTATTTTATTCTCTTTTTGGCTGAGTTACCAGCCGCATTGGGATCAACATTTAAGTTGCTTACATCCAAATTATATTCCATTATTATCACTTTTCACTCTGCTCAATATACTCAAATTTAAATACTACAATATTTAGATATGTCTCTCTAGTTTCGTCGATAAAATTGGGATGATAAAAAAAAGATTATTGTGGATGACATGTATAAATCTAGAATAATATTTAGCTATGTCACCATTCCATAAAAGACATTAAGCCTCCGCAAGAATTCAAAAATTAAGACTCATTTGTGTTGCACCATGCTTCTCTAAAAATTTAAGAACCTAGATGGACAACTCTATATAAAGTTGAAAAAATAAATCGATTGAAAAATTAAGAATTAAAGTTTGTTGCAACTAAGAGAATAAGTTGGGCATCAACCTTTTCATAACCTGAAAATAATTGAATAATGGACAAAGAGATAAAAGATAAACCTAAGAATATAGAAGACAGATTATGGAGAGAGGGAGAGAGAGAGATTAGGACCTTCACAATATTTTTATTAGATTATTAAGACGCTTTTTCAAAATCTCGAGAAGAAAGAGGCCACAAAATCTGATTACTCACATCTTAAAATTGTTGAAGCTAGTGGTGATTCAAAACCTTTCAACCCAAACCATTAAAAACAAATCAGAGCTAACCCATAACAGAGTACCAAAACAAATACAAGGCAATACAACACCGTAACCAAAACATCAGACTTATATGGAATAACATTAAAGATGTGAAGCATAATAGCAGCCCAACAATACAAGTGAAGAACCAATGAATCTTTGGTTCAATGGTACTACTTGTCTTATAAAAGTTTTGTTTTTTTGAAGTAAAGGGTTCAAGTCCCCCTCCCCCTTCTCCTTTCCCTCCAAAAAAAAAATGAAAAAAAAATATAAGGTTTAAAAAAATAATAATACAAGTGACGAGTAATTTTTCAACGAGAAACAACAAAATTTTGGACAAAAACAAAAAAATCTAAAAGGCCAAAATGAAACGTGGCAGCGTCCCTTCATTTGGCTTCCTCCCAATCAAGGTATTTGTCTTGATTTGGACGAATTTCAGTGAGTCAAAAAGTAAGTGGAGGATTGATGAGATTGTGAGCCGATGCCCACAAATTGATACAACCAACAACCAAAATTTTGAAATATAGCACAACAAAATAGAGGAAAGACAAATTAGTAGACAAAGAAGATGATCGAGGTACAAATGTTTTTTTTATTAGCAGAGAGATTTATTTATTGGGGGAGACAATGAGTTATAAACATTTAGAAGTAATTAAAAAAATTAAATATAATCAGTTTCATACTAAAGGAAAACCAAAAGATATTGTGGATATAATTGACTTTTTTTTTTTGGATATAATTGACTTTATACTAATAGTTAATGGTAAAAGTGGAATATAAATATTTTTCAAATATCCCCACATTTTTAAGTAATACAAATATAAATATAATTTCACATGAATCATACGTATTTGATATAATTACATGAATAACATCTATAAATTTCTCCACTTTAATCCCTAATAATTTTTAAAATATATTTCTCATGAATCTCACGCGTTTGGTACAAATTGCATGAATGGCCCTCTCCTCCCTCTCTTTCTATCTTTTCACAGGTACATACCATATCAATTGGCCAACACCATCACAACAACACCACCCAACTATGCCCACCTACTTTAAAAACAAGACGAATTAAGAGAGAGAGAGTAATTAAAATGGGTCATCAATTAATTTGAGTTATTGAAACTAAGTTTGGATTTGATTTCTTTTTTTTTTAATCAAAATCGATTGTTGACACGCTAGATTTGCATTGACGGAGTGCGCGTGCCCCGTAAATGTGTTGCAGTCTATTTAATGTAGTGGGTGTTGGTATGATCGTGAGTAGTGAAGGGGCGATGTAAAAAAAAAAGGGAAGGTGAGAGATTATGTGTGTGGTAGTGTGATAATAATGGTAATGGGTGGAATATTTTTGATGTGTCACGTATGCAATGGTGGGTCCAATTTGGGAGGGAGAAAAAGGGGAAGAGATAAAGGCAAAGACATGATTATATAGATAGAGTTAATTGTTTTTGAATGGTGGTGGTGTCAATTGTACTGGGTGGCAGCGGTGTTTATTTGTACTAAGTAATTATTAAATAATATTATTATTTAAACTTAACTAACTGAATTAAATTGAGTTCATCGTAAATTAATTATCAAGATTATAACGTACTTAGTTGTATAACTAGTGGATGATGAAGTAATTAGAAAGATTATCATCTATGTATGGTGTCCAACCATGGGCCAGACGGCCTGCCGAATCAGGTAAGCAAGCCCAGAAAATAGAGGTGTTGGACTAAGTTCATGGGCCCTCCAAAATTTGAGCATGGACCAGAAGCCCTGGCCCAAACAGTAAATATGAATTTTTTGTAGATCATGAAACCGTAATCACATATTTTTTTTTTTTGAAACGAGAAAGGGAGAAGGGTGACCAATAGGTAGTGACCCCTTTGGGCGTGACTATAAGAGCCTCCCCGGATGTGAAATGTTCGATTAGCCATAACTACAGACACTTTTGGAATAGGCCGTCACCACACCACCACCGGAGCCTAAGTAGTAAAGACATGATGACCCCGTAGATCGAACCTTGCTTGCTAACCACATGGGAGTCAAGGTACGACCCAAAGACAGGCATGTATGTCTTAACACTAGACCACCAACCCCAGTGGTAGAATCACATACCGAAGGCAGGAAGGATGAACAAAATTAGAGAACTCAAAATTACATCAACGTGTACCAAATGTTTATTACTACAAGAATCACATATAAGTTCACAAATAACATCTAGAATGAAGCCAACATTCCTATAGGACGACCAAAGGTGTGGCAGCTGAGAAACTATAACGTAATCCCAGTATGAATCCACCGCCTTGCTAAGTCATCTGGCCACAAAATCTCCACATCACCTTAACAATTTCCTTTTCTGATATGTACAGTGCAATACTAGTCATGTTGAAACTTCCACAGGGTTCCAGTTAGTCACTCTCACTTTGGGAAAAGTATCTCTGACTGTCAAATGGCCGATTCCTGGAGGCTGAATCATCTTGGGCAAAGCCAGTTCCACCATTTATGGGTGCAAATGCTGCAAGCAAGCACATAGTGGGAGTAAACAAACAACAGGGCATGACATAAAACAAATTCCACAAAAAGTTTCAAACATACATAAATGTACGTGAGATATACTTATGGCAACACAAATGAATCCTGTTCATCCAACGCATGTTTACATGTCAATAAAAAATCAAACACTAACTATTGCATTCAGAAAGCATTAGTTTGTCATTTTGACTATTACAGAACCAATTGGTGATACTCCGTACAGCAACAACACACAAGAGAGGGAAAGAACAATGTCCCCACATTGATAGTGATATTATGGGAGGGGAAGACCAAAGTTAATTTTGAATAGTGATTAGAAGGAAGAGATAGTGGGGTTTTGTAGCAAAGTTTCCATGGTCCTCAATTCTTCTACCCTATCCAGATATGTTAAGTCTGTTCAAGTACTAAAATCAAAGGCAAAAGTGAGGTGTATAAAACATATTATAACTATTCAAACTAATTGGACTAACCTTTCTCCCTCATTCTTCTCTCTCTGTCATATTCAAACTTATCCCGGACTTGGCTAACCTTCTCCCATGTATCACCTTGCCTGTTTTTGCCCATACCTTGTTCCTGCATTCATCAAAAAATCATACCAACTCATCCACCAATACAAGTAACATGAAATAAAACATAAATATATAAATCACATCAGACCCTAATCTTTTTTGGTGCACCATGAGTTAATTGAACCGTGTCAACAACATCCATGAAACAAGGAACTTGATATGGGCACCAGCAATTAGGATAACACCAATCCCCTCCCCCGCAACACAGACACACGTACCAAAAAAGAAAATAAGAAAAAAGGAAAAAAAGCACACATGCGGAGTTAATAAACTAATTAGAGGAGGTCCCCAAGAAGAGGTACATTTGTGTCGTATACCATGGCAAAAAAGAGGTTGATACCAACACACAACATCAAATCATGAAAAAAGTCTCTCCACATGTGGGATTAAGGCTACATGCATCTAATCCTCTAGAGTTCAGATCTAGTGGTAGATGCCTCATGTATTGGGCCGCCCATATTTTACCAACACACAGTGTCATGGACTTTCAGACATATTTGTCCACCTTAAAATGTAAAATACACACTTAGAGAGGTCATATAAGCACGAATACTTCTTGGAGGAGTGGCGTGGCAGTGTCGGACACGTGTCCAACATGAACATGGCTAGAAGTGTTCTGAATAATTAACAGTCGGGCATGACCAGGACAAAACCAGGAATTTGTTTTTTTTCTAAAAAAAGACTGTTAACTATTAAAAGAGGCGTGATTTCTTTTTTGTTAATATATTTTTTTATTATGTAACTTACATACTATGGATAAATGATGTTTAATGAAAATGGTGAATACTTATTTTAATCTATTTCAATATTAATCAAAAAATTAACATGTCTTATTATTAATATTATATAATATATGCTTTATTTTTAATATATTATAACTATTATTATGTAAAAAACATATTATATATTAAAAATAGTCGTATCCTTCCCGTACTGTGTCCTATATTTTCGAATTTTGTCGTATCCCCATGTCCTTGCATGTGCTTCAAAACTTCCAGATCTGTTTCTGTGACTGTGCATTCAGGTACTTATTTTTTCGTTTTATTTGATAAGTTGGCAATAAATTACTCCTTAGAACTACTATTTCTCAACTGTATGATTTTGCAATACCGACAGTCCATGCAATATTTATGTACACAACTACATTGTGCTAGCATCAGAATAAACAGACACATAACAAAATTAACCCAGTAAGAGTAGGGCATGTTATGCACATTTATTGAAAAACAGTTTATGTTCTCCCAGTGAAAATAGGGGAGAAACTTTATTTAGTTTAGTATTGACAAAAATGTTTTCATGAAATCTAGTTACTAATAATGTCTTTTTTCTCTGTTCTTTATGTTCTTATCAAACCAAAACAACTAAAATGGCTGTAGAAATCTCAAATTCTCCACCATTTTGTACAATACTCTCAAGGAACTCATAAAATCAAACAAGTTCTTGAATAGTAGATATGTTTCTATGACCTCTAACATGAGGTTTGTGAGTGTTGAAGAGGAAGAAAAAAAATAAGGGATTTGCAAGGAGATAAAAGAAAAGAAGAAATGATTTGGGAGTTTTAGGAGAGAAAAACCAAGGAAAATACTGTTATACTCGAGGGGAGAGAAAAAAGAGGACTGTTTTGTTTGTAAGGAAAAACCCAAAATTGGAAATCACTTCTCATGAACTAAGGATGAAAATATAATCACTAACTCTTTTTTTTTTTTTTCAAATCTTCCCTCATTTGTGAAGAAAAGAAAATTGGATCCAGCAGTTCTCAAATTTTTGCATATCTCCCCTCCTCCCTCCCCTTAAAAACTCCAAAAATAGTGATCCAGATTTCTCTTCATTCCATTTCCTTTCTTTTATTTCTAAATCTAACAATCCAGAGGAGGTGTAAGAGTCTTTCCACCAATTTCATCTCTATGAAAAATGTGGCTAAGAGTCTAAGACACATAGATGAGATACATTTAGATTCTTCTCCCAAAATATTTTGCAAGCAAGTTTATTATTTTCCCATGTTGAGATAAAATAACTACATAAAATGTCCAATTCCTATTTAAGAATTGTTGAGTTGCATTTGCACATGTCAATGTGTTCGCTTATGCAAAAATGTTAGAGAGCACCAGAACATTACAGATGCACCCAGGACACCTCCTAGCACCTGCAAATATATTAGGCTGAGGATTTAGGATATTTGACTTGGGAGTTAGGCTGCCCGGATTATACATAGGGTACATAGAGCTTGAACCTATGGAGAAAAGACAGAAGGGAGAAGAAAAGCTACCATCACACTGAAGTTCACAGGAGTTAGAAAACATAACAGATTCATTTAATAAGATACAGAATTTTATAGCATCAAACCTACTAGGATATAATAGATATGTCTAAATGTTGAAAGACAATTGCATCAGTACCTTCATTTGCTCAGCGCGTGGTTGCCATCTCCTGCAAAACAAAACAAAGTGGTTTATAATCATCAAACATTTGTAAAATTACACAATAAGTTAAACATGTCTTTATCAAACAAAGTAAATTAACAAAAATAATCAACTAAGGCCTGTGAGAGAAAATGTGAACCTGTTGCCAAAAGGAGAAAATCATGCATAATTCATTTGGCTTAAGCTGACAAAAATTTGTCTTAAAACAACTAAACATCTCCTCTGGTCAAGAAGCACGAAAGTCGGTGTCTACCAAACATTAAAAAGACTAACTTGAGACACACACACATAAAAGACAAGAAATTGACAAAAGATAGATGAACCTGTATGGTGAAAAATCTTCATCATCATCTTCAGCAGAGTCGTAGTTGGCATGATCTTGAGCAAGTTTTTTAGAGTAACCCTCATCCCAGTACAGCCTCTCCCAGTTCTCTCTGAGCTCATTATATATTTCCATGTATCTTTTGCACCATGGCTCATGCTCCTTTTAGTCGAACCAAAAACAACAAAAATTAAACAAACACAGAACCAAATTAGTTTCCCAACCGAAATCCAAACATAAATCATCCCCAAAAAAAAAGGAATTTCAGATGGCAATTGGTGGGGTAAAGTTCAAATTTAGTAGTACAAAAGACGAGGACAAATCTATTGATTAACCACTGTTTGTAGTATAATTCAGATCTTTTAGGGTTTTCATTTCAATTTTGTCAGCAATAATATAATTCCTTATACCCCGTCGCATTCAAATCCCAAAAAACCATGATAGGCCGAAAAACCATGATTTAGAACTAAGTGAGAATCATAGAACTCACAGATTCCTTGAGAACGAGACGCGTACGGCGCATGAACTGTTCTCGGAGCTGCTTACGGCGCTTGTTGGGGATGTTATCTCTGGGTATCACGAACCTCTCTCTCGGCGGCACATTCTCGCCGATCTCGTGCATTTCTCCATCGACAACCCACCACTCCGACTTTTCATCGGCTCTCTTCATCGTCACTGCGGCGAACTTAGACCGCCTCCGGGGTGGGGAAGATAATCCGGCTTCGGTTCGCGCGGACCGGAGTTGGAGAGCAGTTTGGTTGTGGAGGCATGGGTGGCACCTCTGAAGCCGTCTTGCCAGATGAAGCATGGAGGTTTATGGATTGAACCCGCTCGATTGCTGTATTGGACAACTTTACTAGTAGGTCACTCTGAACGGGGATGAAAGGAGTACATTACTGGTCGGATCCGCACTAATACACATTTTATTTTTCTATTTTTTCTTCAAATCAAATCATAATTTAAGTGTAACATACCTATTTATATATGGGTTAATTACCCTAGAGTTCTCTAAAGTATAGAATTTATCTTATTTTGTTCCTCTATATTTTAATTGTATTATTTTTGTCTCAAAAATATTGAATATGTTTTTATATGGTCACTCAAGCAGACAGAGTCCACATTGTTAATAATTTTTTATTTTAAACTTGTCACGTGATACTTAAACATAGAAAAAAAAAATAATCTAAGTAACTTTTGATTAAATTTTTACTCAAATTTTGATTAAGTACATACCTAAATTATTAAACAATTTTGATGATGAGCTATTTAAATTTTGGTCAAAAGTTATTCATATTTCATATTTTTTTGTCAAAAATTATCCAAAATTTGTTTAAGAGCTATCAAAATTATTTTTGTCCATATTTAGTTATTACGTGACAAGTTTATGATAAAAAAATCATTAGCAATATGAACATTGTCTATTTAAAGAACCATATAAAAACATATTCAATACTTTAGAGACCAAAATGATACAATTGAAACATTGGGGATTAAAATGAGACAAACTTCATACTTTGAGGACCTCTAATACAATTAACACTTTATTATATATATAAAATAATCAAATTAGGGAAAAGTAATTTTCAAAAGATTGTTATCCTTTATCACTTAATTACTGATGGCGTTAACGCACTTTTACAAAAGATGAGTTGGGATTATGTTAGGTTGCTAAGATGATGCCATAATATCCAGGGCTTTGGAAGTTAAGACAACAGAATTATAGTTGTTTTTCAGCTTGGGAGCTCGGCTAGTCCACTCTGGAATGGAAGCTCTTGCTTTTTTTTTTTTATTCACAGTGATTACAAGGTTGCTATGCCTTCTTTTTTTGTCACTCAGATCTCTTTTTTTGTTAGGGGGTGTTATCTTGCATTTATAAGGTCATTCCCTGCTAAGAAGAATCTTAACCGAGATTATTGCCCTTATTTCGTGGGCTTCTCCTTAATTTTAGAAGAAGATCTTAGTTGGTTAAGATTGGGTGTCTTGATTACAGCTTCCTAACGTTTTAGGATCCTCTTGTGGTTATCCAGCTGTTATCTTGTCTTAAGAGACACTTGACCCTTACCCTCTGACCTATGCTAATGTGCCTGACCTCCTTGTCCGAGCTGACCTCCTGAGCTTAGCACTTGGAATTTATTTTAGGTATCATCAGTTGCCCCCCAGCCTTTGGCTCAAGCGAGCTTGGGTATGGACTGAGCTGCTTTCACATTGGACCAGGCCTGCACCTAGCTAACCTTAGTCCGCATGTGAGATGTACGTGAGGGGACTCTTTGACAGTTTACAGCAATCATGGCTTTCTCGATTCCCGTGCATATTTCAGCCCACATCACTCAAGCTTTAAATGCTCAAACAGCTACCCAAAAATCGCTCAAAACTCCCTGTTCATCTTCTACGTTGTTCACCTTTGCCTCTGCCTCTTTTCCTCTGCAATTCCTAGGCTTTCCTACACGCGATTCACTCATTCTTTGCTCAAGACTGCATTTTTCGGGTACGCCTTGAAGTCTTGCTTTGCTTCTTCTCTCCAATTTCATCCTCGGTTGTTATTTGTTGCTCTCTTCCCTGTCTAGGTACGCCCTTTCTGCCCCCTTCTCTTTCTCTTACCTTTCCCCACTCTAGAGCCCTCGAATTCGAGGTGGCCGTTGTTTTTCTAGGTTTTTCGGTTCTTTTACTTTTGGAATTGAGATTGTTGTTTATCTCCTCTTCCCCGCTTTGTGGATTGGAACTCCACTGTGCGAATTCTTACCATTGGGGGGTACAATGTTGACCCTAGGATTATTATGGGGTGTTTGATTAGTATTCCTCCTCTCTACCATTCTTTCAATTTGCCTTTCTCTCTACCAGTCATGTATGCCTCCTCTAGAGCAACTCTTTCCTCTGTTTCCCTCTTAGGCGATAGGTCTGCCGAAAAAGATTCTGATGTAGGGGATGTAGGTGACGAGATTGACAACTTTCCTGGTGTAGATTCTGCCGAGGTAAAGGTGAAAATCGAGGAGGCCCTCTCCACCTCTTCTCCCATCCTTGATAGACCCCTTTTGATCTGAAGGTTCTTAGTGCTCACTTTCGTTTCCCCTAGGGGTTCAACCCTGGAGTCCTGATAAGTACACCACATATGTTCACCATGTCCACAAGAAAGTCTGTTTCTTCCTGGCAGCTTTTGATAATGGACTTCGCTTCCTCATTCATCCATTTATCAAAGGTGTCCTTCAATACCTCAATGTCTGCCCTGCCCAGTTCTCCCCCAACTTCTGGGGTGTTCTTGTGGTTTTACTAGTCTTCTTTAAGGACCATAAGCTTGGGGTTCCTACTGTTTCCTTACTTATGAAGCTGTTCAATGTCAATCAGACCTCCTCTGACGATTTTTTGTATATTTCCAAGAGGACTAAGGCCAAACATGTCATCTCTAACCTCCCAAGCTCCCATAAGGGCTGGAAGAAACAATTTTTCTTTGTAGGGGGTACACAGTGGGAGTTCAACTCAGAGGATAAAACTGATACCCTCTCAATCCCTACAGAGTGGTCCGCCCCCAATAATTTGGGCATGTTTTTGCCTAGACCGTATTTAATCCAAGCCTGACTGCTTTGTTAACTTATTTCTTGTTTTCCTTGATTTTCTAGGTATCCGACCTAAGCTCAGCGCTGAAGAAGAGTGAGTATTGCAAAAATTAGAAAAGTGCAAACCAGAGAAATACTCTGAGCTCATCCAACCTTAGGCTCTCGTAGAACACGGGTTCTACCTTCCTGAGGTGAAGGTTGAAGCTCCCCTTCCACTTTTCATTGCTGGCACTATCCCACTTTTCACTGAAAATATATCAGGTACCACTTTCCTCCTGCCTTTGATTCCTCTATCTTATTTTCTCCACTAAAGGATGAGGCTTAGCTGTTTTTAGGTCTCCCAGGTTCATCCTCAATGGAGCCCACTACTGCTAAACTCAGGGTCAAGCTTTCTCTAATGAAGAAGATCAAGAGTAGCGGCAAGAGCAGTGGTAAGCGCAAGTTAGAACCTAGCTCTGGCGATGGCTCCATACCTCCTGCCAAGGTGCCCAAGACTGGTATGTCACATACTTCATCTGCCCCAGTTGTCCCAAATCTCCCCTCTCAAAGTGTTTCACTTTCTGCTCCAAGCGTTGCTGTTTCAAGACAGGCATCTCCTTCAGCCTCTGAGGTCGAGAGAGCTCTAGAAGAAACCACCCGAATCCTGACCTTTCTCGATCCCCCCTCTGCATCATTTTCTTGACCCCTTCTTGAAAGCTCCAAGGCTTTGAAGAAGGAGCATCTCAAGGTAGAAAAGAGCGAAGGATCTTTTCTTGACAGCCCTGACCTCGCTGTTGGAGCCCTTTCTTCTATTCTTCCCAACTCAGATGTAAAAAGGGTTCTCTCAATGTCTTTTGAGGATTCAATAAGCTCTGTTTATCACGGATTAGCTGCAGTAAGTTCTCACTTCCTGCCTTACACATATATAACCTTTTTTTTTACCCGAACTTCACTAACTTTTATCTATTTCCCTCTTGTCCCCAGTCTGCTATTCATGCAAAGAGCTTGATGAACAGGGTCCTTTCCACATAAAATTCTGTCAAAATGGTGAAAGCTTACGAAATTAATGTATCCGAACTATCTTTTGAGAATGATGACCTGCGAGCTCAACTGCAAGAACTTCAAGACAAAATGGAGAAGCAAGCTTCCACCATTGAGGGCATAACAGCTGCGAAGGCCAAGGTTGAGGAGGGGGAAAAAAAGGCTAGGGATGCCTAGGCCAAGGCCAACAACGAGGCTTCTGTTGCTCAGAGCTTCTTTGCAAGCTTAAGCCAATATTTTGTTGCTCTATCTGAGGCAAGTGGAGCCCTTTGCGGCGAGCTTGAAGGGTTTAAGGCTGATGTATCTGCAAGGGACAAAGACATTGCCAAGCTGCGAGATGATGTCACCACCAAATGGGCTTTTGGGTGGTTGGCCTTTTCAGGAAAGAGCTGAAGAGACCTACCCTGACCTCGATTTCAACTTTGATATCCCTGATGATGAGAACCCAGAGATGGTTGAAGCAGAAGATGAGGGTGCCCCCCTAAAGGTACAGAGACGGTTGCAGCAGGAAGAAAAAGTGCCCCCTGCCTATGCAGAGGACCCTATTGCCGAGCTTCCCCTTTTTGCTGACCTTGCTGCTGAAACTTCAGCTCTCCCAACTACTGCAGAGGCCCCACATTCAGAAGCTCCCATTGTTGGATCTTCCCCAAACTCTGTTATTTACCCATCTCTTTTGATGAGCTTCCCGCACCTGAACCTGCTTTTGTCCTAGCTCCAGCAACTGACCAACAGAGTTCTAGCTTTACTCCCCCAGCAGAAACTTAGAATATAGAGCAAGTTTTTTTTTTTTTGTAACTTCAAATCTATTAACTTATGATTGTACCTCCTTTGAGATGGAATGTAACTTCACAAGTTTGTTTTTTTAACAACTTCTATCGGATATAACATTCCTCAACTCTTCAAATACTCCTCAACTCTCCCCCTTGCTTCAAATGGTCATTTAGACCTCTTTGGGGTAAAAAAGGGTTAGGAATAGCTGCTAACGTGCCTAGCTGAGCCTCCAGCTTCTCAACCTAGCTGAGCTTCCAGCTTCTCAACCTGCGTCTGCCCAAATTCCTGCAATTGAACTCCAGAGCTCTGTCTTTACTTATCCTCAAAGTTAGGATATGAAAAAAAAAAAAAAAAATTTATGTTCAGGACTCCTCTTTGGAGGCCTGCTTGTTTAATCCCGGGGTGTCATTGATATCTGCTTTTGATGCATAGCCTTCTTACCAAAAAGGTTCCTGTTCCCTTAATTTGGAAACCTGGAGACCCACCGACTTAAGAATTTATGTAATTAACAACTTCCTAAAAATCTGAAATTTTCAAAGGATTCCTATAAGTACTGGCTGTCACTTCCCTCCGGGTATC